AAGTAGTCATATCCTCTAATCCAATCAGCTAACAACTCTCAGTCATTTACCAAATTGGCCATATTCTTAAGCACTAAAGTAACCCATTAGAATCTAACATATTCTTAGTTATTAGATTTCACAAACGCGCATCCTCTAATTCAATTGGCCAAGGGGTCAGCATCCTTGCTAGCTAGCTGTATGACTGTATCAATGAAAATTACTTCAATTTAGACATCAAATCATATACTTATTATTTGTCTCACATTAATCAACCAAAGCTTAATCAATTATATGTGATGTGTTTCATTCAATTACTTTAGACATCAAATCATATACTTATGTGTCTCACATTAATCAACAAATTAAAAGCTTAATCAGTTATACGATATGTGTTTCACTCAATTGGTACAACTACATCAGCCCTACGCAAACGTGCAAAGATCAAACAGGTATCACTGATGCAATTTTATAAGGATCAAGCACTCTATAACTATGTAAAAGATTATAGTTAGTAGCTCTATGGGCGGTGTGGGCTTAGGATTAATCCACCTGTATAACCCGTACCTCCACACAGGTTATACGTGTCGAGTTGAAAATGGACCGAGTTAGAAATTCTCAGACTCAGCCCGTCTAAAATCAATAGTTATTGCATGGACCATAGTCCACGCAGCTTTGTGGATCACGGCCCAAAAATGACGTTGTTTGTTTAATTTTATTTTTTCGCGTGTCCAACTACAACATACATTTTTATAACTTATAATGTAAATTATTTTAAAACATAATATACATTATGTTACCCCAAATATTTCATTATTCTAAACACGTAATGTATATTATTCTAACACGTAATGTACATTATTCTAACACATAATGTACATTATTTTAACACATAATGTATATTATTTTTACTCATAATATTCACGATGATGTTTTAGCTGTATGGACCACGATCCACACAATAATTTTCTGTCTAAAATACAGGTTAAACGGGCTCAACCTGATAAGTTGAATCTATTTTGACCGCTCTATGTACACGTTTATTTCCTTATGGTGTGTGGGGGTTGGATGAGAGAAGATGATACTCATAGATGAATGTAAATTTTTGATTTGAGACATGATATAATTTGGGATATTCAACTATAGTGATTGATGATAAATGTGTGTATGCATGGTATTGGTAGCAGTGACAATATATGGTTTGGAGGGAAGGTCGATCTCATGGTGATGGGTAGGCAACCCCACACGGGCACCGGTGCGGGCGCCCACAATATATACGTCAACATTGCCCACCTAAAAGATTGGGTACGTCGTTTATTTTTTTTTTTTTTATTTCTCGTGGAAATTAATTTGTTTTGTTTGGTTTTGTTTTTGTTCGATGAATCGTTTTCGAGGACTAGTTTTCCCTTGCAACTACGTACTCAAAACATTGCTTTCGCAATTCCAAAATCAAATGGGGGCCGCTTTACCATTCATCATAACACTCCGTATCATTACGGATCTTCGATTGTCGCATCAAATCTAACTTCGCCTAGTAAATTAAAGATGTGTTTGGTTTAGAGTTGAGCATAATGAATGAGAATAAAAGTTATACGTATTATTTAGTTGACAATTTTTTAAATATAAATATGATTCTAATAATTCAGTCTTATTGTCCCTCCTCATAATTAAAAATGTTTACTTTTACCAATTATGATCATAATTAAAAGTGTTCACTTTTAATATTTTTAAAACTATAGGCGACATATATACCAATTGAGTGAGTCTCATGTGAGATTGTTTCAAATGCATATCCTTATCCGTAAATACGGGTCGGGTCATGATGGACATATATTTAATAATTATGCTAGAAAATGTAATACTAATTATAAATAAATTGTTTGTTACTCACAAAGAAAAGTGTAATACTATAGAGGAAAAAATTAATAATTTTTTTTGAATGCTACTAACTTTATTACAATGTAGTATCTGTTCATATACTTTCTCAATCTACTAAAACACAAAGAGCCAATAACGCCTCCACTGAAGTGGAACTCACAACATTCCAAATGGAAGTCTAACCCGGATACCATTAGACCACATGGTCTTGGTGAGGAAAAAATTAATACATTTAAACAAAAATGTAATATTTCGGGTTGAATAGTTATGAGAAAAAATATAATACTAATCAAGGATAAATTATTTAATTATTATTTATGCGAAAAACTCTAATATTTATGACGAAAAACATATATAACTTTTGATGAAAAATGTAATACTTTTAAATCAAAATGTAATATTAAGAGTTGAAGGGTTACTTATGATGAAAATTTGTAATATTTATGTAGGAAAATAGAATACTTATCAAAAATCATGTCCATCTTATGGATGAGAATCCGCGAGACGGTTTCATAGAGAATTTGTCATACCAATTGCATTAACTCAAATAAAGTGAGTTTGACTTTTTAAATAGTCGGGAGTTCGAACTCATGTGTATGTAATAATATCATTAGGAGGACAAGACTGAATTAGTCTTATCATGATTCAAATACTATACAATGACCTTGTGATCTAGTGGCATGAAATGACTCTCTCAAATGGGAGGTCATGGATTTGAGCCCCACTGGGGGTCATATTGACTCTTTGTGTTTCAATAGATTGAGAAAGTAGCTATAAACATATACTATATTGTAATAGAGTTAATAGTAATAAAAAAAATACTAATTAATGCAGTATGTAAAAGGGGAAAAAAAAAAAAAAAAAAAAAAGGCATGCAATAATTATAGAGAAAATAATAGTAATGAAAATAATAGTTGAATTGTTGTAAATAGCAAGAGTTTGGTGTTATTGTACTCGTGTGGTCCGTCAGTAATGGCACAAGTCTTGGCTGTCGATCAATGATTTAGCAACACAGCCTACCCACCCAACTTCTAGTCTAGACCAAAGTCAGCTTACAAGAACTATCATTGACCATTTTTATTTATTTCATAAATAAGGATCACAGCTTCAACTGCAATCATTCATATATGCTCACCGACATTCAATTATATTAGACTGAATCTCAATTGTGTGAGACCGTCTCACGGATCTTTATTCGTGACTTGGATCGAGTTAATATGAAAATGTAATATTGATACTGAAAAATGTAATATTAATCATGAATAAAGTGTTTACTGCTTAATAAAGAAAAATGTAATACATACTTTTAAATCAAAATGTAAAAGTATTATATTTTTTCTTCAAAAATTATTACACTTTCTCTTATAAGTAACAAACACTTTATTCCCTATTAATATTATATTTTATAATATAAGTATTACATTTTCATCTTCATCCGATCCGTCTTACACAAGTTTTTGCCATTATCTTACATTTATGCTCTTTTAATCCTCTCATTTACTCCTATTTTTATATGTTACTCCGTATTTCGTATGATTAAGGAGATTTGACATACTCCGTAATATTTTATTTAAAAGTATTAGTGGATAAAGATTATATATTTAGAATTTATAAAGAAGTCTATTATATGTAATCTCTAATCTTAGTCTTTAAATTTTATTCTCTAGTGTGACGAGTTTTGATAAGTTATTTTTTTTTATATATGTTTTCTAATAGAAGTGTTTATATTAAGATTTTATGTATAAAAATACAAATTGAGAGTAGAAAATGAGAGTACATATAACATTTTCTATCTATAAAATAGAGAGCTCCTCTCCACCTCTCAATTGATGGTTGTAGGAACAATAAGAGAATTCTGCTGAGCAAGTTGCCATTGACAACTGTTAATACGTTCGATATGAGTGCTTCATCAACCAATTAATTTATTTAAATTAAAACAAATATACGATATGCCAATTATATATATATATATATATATATATATATATATATATATATATATATTAGCATATTATATGCGCGATGCGCGAAAATTCATGTCTAATATTAATATATTGATAAATATAAATAATTAAAAATTATAATTCGAATTATATATACACACATGTATTGACTCTGTGTGCTTCATTAGGTTGAGAAAGTATGTTTGAACAAATACTACAATTTAATAGAGTCAGTAGCAATATAGGTGTACGGAATGAGATTCGAACTCAAGCATGTGCTCCATCTTAACTAAAAGCCTAAGCTTATAGTTGGATTGCACATTAATAGATATATGCTCAACATATGGTAATAATAATGGAGTCATTAATATTAGTATGGACAATTTTATCTAATAGCATTAAAATGTACAACATTTAAAGTAAAATGTATACTTTTATTAACATACAAAAAGAGAGATAAATCAATGGATATAACATTGATTGAGACTTGTTATGTTTTTAGATATATATGACAGTTTCTTTTACTCAATCTTATGTTATTGTTAGACTAAAACTAAAACATGTCTAATTTTTCGATAAACTCTTCACACCTATTGTTTCCATTCAAAAACTCAAACCTGACTAAAAAAAATTGAACTCATTTTATTGAAATAAAAAATTGTAAGATATTTATAGATAATAATATACAGAGTGTAATATAACCTCTATATATATATATATATAATATATTGTTTATAATATAATCGTCCAACCGTGAAATCTGGTACATACTCGTACACCCATGCTCGATCATGACAATATCGTTTTAAATCCAATCCTCGTATTATTGCGTTCCATGTACTTGAGAAGATATTGAGATGGTACAACAGACAAAATGAGCTGTTGATGGAACCTTATAAATTGGAATTTTCTTTTTTTCAAGAAAAAATAAATAAATAAAGGCTACCTGTCAAATTTTAGTTTGATTGTGGAATGGTTCTTAATAGGGTAACGCAGAGGAAAGATTAATACCATACTGCTTCCTCGTCATTTAAGAGAAATAGGATTAGAAGCTGGCTAGCACCACACGTTTTCTCATATTTAATTTATTTTCACAAGAATTTGGATGTTCTCAAATGGACTGATCGATTAAATGTGTTACAATTCTTCCAGTTAAGTAATACAAAAAACTTTCCTACTATTAAAGATAATATTCTTGTCATGGGAAGTGATCAGAAATTGGTGAATCTCTTGTTATCTAAGTTGTCTGTAACTTTTAAAATTTGTGATTTGGGAGCTCCAAGTTTCTTTCTTGACATTGAGACTATACGAGAATATGGTGGAATGTTGCTTTCACAACGTCGTTATATGACTGATATACTGAGGCATACAGGCATGGCAGATTGTAAACCACTCGCCACTTCTATTCTTGTTTCACGTGTAGTACCTGTGTCTGAGTCCACTGAGCTATATGACGATCCAACGCAGTACCGCAGTCTAGCTGGGGCGTTGCAGTATTTGACTATTACGCGTCCTGATTTGTCATTTGCCATGAACCAGCTCTGTAAGCACATGCATGCTCCCACGGTCACGCATTGAGCTCAACTTAAACGTGTGTTGAGGTATATGTTAAAGGCACTATTGATTTTGGTTTGCATATACGTAAGTTTGTGACAAATGATCTTCATGCTTTCTCGAACTCTGACTGGGCTAGGTGTCCTGAAGATCGTAAGTCCACAAGTGGTTTTGCTGTGTTTCTTGGTTCAAATCTTGTATCTTGGGTATGTAAGAAACAACGAACTGTAGCTTGGTCCTCAATTGAAGCTGAATATAAGGCTCTAGCTGATGTGTGTACTGAGGTGATTTGGATTATATCTTTGCTACGTGAGATTGGTGTTACTAATATTCTTGTTCCCAAGTGATAATCTTGGTGCTACCTACATGTGTGAAAATCCTATATTCCATGCTCGTACCAAACATATATATAGAAATTGATTATCATTTTTTGTTCGTGATAAAGTGGCTGCTGGTGATATATATTCAAGTTAATTTTATTTCTACCAAAGATCAACTTGCAGATACTTTCACAAAAGCTCTTCTAAAATCTCATTTTTCGTTTTTTAGAGACAAGCTACCCGTTATTAGGTTACCTTATGCTTAAAGGAAAGTATTAGGATTCTATGTTTCCTAGTTATGTTGTAACTCTTATCTTGTATTTATTTACTGTATTTTATAACTCTTTCTGATTAATCCAGAATTACAGTTCTCATCGACTTTTCTGTCTTCGGTGCCATGTGACTCAAAAGAAGTCAAGATGAGTTTTCCTTAAGAAGATGGATAAGTGTGGTGTAATTATAGGTATTCGTTTGATTTACTTCAAATCAAACTAATCAAAACTAAATTAATTGATTTGTTGTAATGCAAGTTTGTTGGTAACTTTTGCAGACCTTAGCTCGCAGGAACAGTGAAACAAAGAGCAGTATGAAGAAGATAAAGAAAAGTGAGAAGAACAATTTTATTGCCTTGCAATCTCTAACTTCAGTACAGGAATACAATAATATATAGAGTACAAATGTAACCTTCTCATTAAGTACAGAAACTGTTTCAGCTGTTACAAATTATCATAATAATGTCCATTAAGATTTTGATTTATAACACTCCCCCTTGGACATTATTTTGCCATAATCATGCCTCGTTAAAAACTCGCTAGAAAAACCCTGTGGGAAAAACCTAGTCGAGAAAAGAGTACACGATTTATGGATAATGCATGTGTTGCTTCGGTTGCCTCATTAAAAACCTTACACTGAGAAAACCCTGTGAGAAAAAAACTCAGTTAAGGGAAAAAGAGTACAATCGTAAACCTTCTGGGTTTAGGTATAAATCATAAGAGTATGTCTTTGATCTTCTGGATCGAAGTGAATGAGTTAATCTTCTGGACTAACAATTTCATTACTTTGAAGATGTTGTTGCTCCCCCTGAAGACAACAACCTTCCTAATCTACGCATACCAATTTTATATACATACTTTTCAAAAGTAGATGTAGGTAAGGACTTAGTGAATAAATCTGCTAGATTTTCACTTGATTGGATCTTTTGGACTCGTATTTCACCACTCTTCTGGAGTTCATGTGGATAAAAGAATTTTGGTGTAATATGTTTGGTGAGATTACCTTTAACATATCCATTACTCATTTGTGCAACACATGCTGCATTGTCCTCGTACAGGACAGTGGGGATCTTTCCATTATTCATTATTCCACACGAGTCTTGAATATTGTGTATTAATGACCTCAACCATACACATTCTTTGGAGGTCTCGTATAAGGCAATAATCTCAGAATGGTTTGAGGAGGTAGCTACTAATGTTTGTTTAACTGATTTCCATGAAATGGCAGTACCTCCAGAAACAAACACATATCCAGTCTGAGATCTAGCATTATGCGGATCAGACATAAAGCCAGCATCCGCGTATCCCACTAATGTGGTGTCTTGGTTTCTTTTAAATAGAAGCCCAAGATCCTTTGTACCTTGCAAATATCTGAGGATATGTTTTATGCCATTCCAATGCCTTCTGGTTGGAGCAGCACTAAAACGAGCTAGCATGTTTACTGAAAATGCAATATCAGGTCTAGTGCAGTTGGCAAGATAGAAGTGCTCCAATGGCACTTAAGTAAGGAACTTCTGGTCCCAGAATATCCTCATTATCTTCTTTAGGTCTGTACGGGTCCTTATCAACTTCAAGTGATCGGACTACCATTGGAGTACTAAGTGGATGGGACTTATCCATGTAGAATTTCTCCAATAACTTGTCTGTGTATTTGGATTGGTGTATGAATATCCCTTCAGGGATGTGCTCGATCTGCAGGCCGAGACAGAACTTGGTTTTTCCCAAGTCTTTCATTTCGAATTCCTCCTTTAGGCACAAGCATGCCCTCTTGACGTCCTTGCTCGTCCCTATGATGTTTATATCATCTACATAGATTGATATAATACAGAAACCATCAGTTGATTTCTTTGTAAAGATGCAAGGACTAATATCTTTATTTTCATATCCTTGTTTTAAGAGGAATTCACTCAATCGACAATACCACATTCTTCCTGATTGTTTTAAGCCATATAATGACTTTTGTAGCTTTACGCTGAACATATTTTTATTTGTATTTCCTTTACATAAAGGATTTTGGATGCCCTCAGGTACTTTCATATATATGTCAGCGTCTAGTGACCCATATAAATATGCGGTCACAACATCCATTAACTGCATTTCTAAATTCATTTTTACTGCCAGCGATATTAGATAACGGAACGATGTACCATCTAAGACAGGAGAGTAAGTTTGTTCAAAATCTATTCCGGGTCTCTGTGAGAACCCTTGAGCTACCAGTCTCGCTTTGTATCTGACCACCTCATTTTGTTCATTCCTCTTTCGTACAAATACCCATTTGGATCCTACTGGGATCACGCCTTTAGGGGTAAGTACAGGAGGACTAAACACTTTTCTTTTATTTAGCGAGTTGAGCTCAGCCTCAATTGCTTCTTTCCATTTCAACCAATCGGAGCGCTTCCGGCACTCCATTATAGTTTTTGGTTCTGAATCCAGATTATTGAAAGAAATGTGAAGAGCAATTGTAGAGGCGAATTGGTCGTCGACGACTGTTACATTTCTATTAAGATTTTCTCCTGTTTCGAAAAAGTTTATGGCAGATTCTATATTTACTTCAACCAAATCTTTCTCATTTGCTATCATATCTTGGTGAAGGTGTTCCGTATTCCCAGTGTTAGATTTATTTGTAGCACGTGCATTTACACTGGGTATTTCGTCTTCAGGACGATTTTGGAGTAACTGTGATTGTTTATTGTTTTTAATTTTCCGCGGATTTACATCTTTTGCACCAACTGGTCTTCCACGCTTCTGGCGTTGGATAGTGTCGGTGTTATTATTTGGTCCTTTGGGGACAATTATCCTTGATGGAGCATTTTCTGCAGGAATATAGGACCTAGTTACTCTTTTATAATCAGTAAACGCATCTGGCAGATTATTTGCTAGTTTTTGCAAATTTATTATTTTCTGAACTTCAAGTTCAGTTTGACTAGTACGTGGGTCAAGATATTGAAGATCTTTTTCATCCCATGAAATTTCGTGGCATTTTTTCAAAACTGGGCTTTTCTCTCCCCCTAATGCCGGGAAATGATCTTCATCAAAAATGCAGTCAGCAAACCGTGCAGTAAACTGATCTGTTGTCATAGGCTCAGAGTATTTAATGATAGAAGGGGATTCATACCCAACATAAATACCTAATCGACGTTGCAAGCCCATTGAAGAACGATGCGGAGGTGGTATAGGTACGTAAACCGCACAGCCAAAAACACGCAAATGAGAAATGTCTGGCTCATTACCACGTACAAGTTGTAGAGGGGAATAATCGTGATATGCAGTTGGCCGGAGTTGAATTAGGTTTGCAGCATGCAACACTGCGTGTCCCCAACAATTTACTGGTAGACTGGACCATTGCAGTAATGGTCTAGCTATTAGTTTAATTCTTTTGATAAGAGATTCAGCTAAACCATTCTGGGTGTGGACATATGGTATAGGATGTTCCACCTTAATTCCCATGGCCATACAATAATCGTCAAAAGCTGACGAAGTGAATTCACCAGCATTATCCATTCTTATGTTCTTAATAGGATAATCGGGAAATTGGGCATTCAACTTAATGATTTGGCTCATGAATTTTGCGAATGCCATATTTTGAGTGGACAACAAACACACATGTGTCCATCGGGTGGAAGCATCAATAAGGACCATAAAATATCGAAATGGTCCGGATGAAGGATTAATTGGTCCACAAATATCACCCTGTAGCCTCTGCAGGAAGACAGGTGACTCAAAATCAATCTTAGGACGTGAGGGACGAACAATAAGTTTTCCCTGTGCACATGAAACACATGTGTAATCTTTTGTAGAAAGAATGTTTGTCCTAAGAAGGTTATGTCCAGTTGTATTTGAAAGAATCCGGCCTATCATAGTTTGCCCAGGGTGACCTAAGCGGTCATGCTATAGACTGAAAGAATGTGTATCTTTAAACTTCACTGCGAGTGCAACACATGAGTGCTGGGCCCTGATATATGAATAATACAGGCCTGAAGAAAAGGAAGGAAGTTCTTCAATTTCCCTTTTCTGGTTATTGACCGTTTTGGTCAAAACAAGGAATTCTGTATTGTTTTTAGTTTTAGTTTCTATGTGGAAACCGTTGGACCGAATATCCCTGAAACTGAGCAAAGTTCTTTTTGATTGAGGATATAGGAGGGCTGAATCAATGATCAACTTTGTTCCTTTAGGAAGAATAAGTGAAGCTCTGTCGGAGCCCACAATAGGAATGTCATCATTCGCTATGGTTGAAAGGTTGCCTTTGTGTTCCTTGAACGTTTGAAAAAATCTCCGGTCTGTCAGAATAGTGTGCGTAGTCGCACAATCAACCAAGCATAGGGCTGATTCGTCTCCCATATCTCTAAAGAAAAAGAATGGGTATCAAGATAATGTCTAAGAATGATCCATTGTATTTATTCAAATAGAACAAAAGTGTTCAAAGATAAAGGATCCGTTATTCATATAGGACAAAAGAGTTCAAATATAAACATGCACGCAGGCATGAAGTAAAATGGATGTCCATAAGGGAAAGAGAGAGAGAGAAAAAAAAATAAGAGTATCACTCCTGATCTCCATAATCAGCTAGTTCATCGCCTAGCAGGTCATCATTCCCTAAGATGAGGGCATTTGCTTCAGTCAAAGATGATTGCCCAGAATCTTTCTTCTTTTGTCCTCCTTCCTGCTGGAGCATCTTTTGGTAAGCCTCGACTAGATGCTTAGGAGTCCTGCATGTCCTAGACCAATGTCCTTTGCAACCACATTTATAACATGGTTGCGACTGACCGGAGTTCTGTTGTGACTTGTTTGGTCTATTTCTTTGAGTTTGCTTGTACTGAGGACGAGAGTCACTACCGTTAGCTCCCCCTCTGCCACCTCGCTTTGGGCCCCTGCCACGACCTCTCCCCCTACCCCGGCCTCGACCCCGCCGATTGTTGCTCTGCTGGGCAACAGTGTGTGCTTCAGGCACAGGAGCAGCGCTAGTTGGACGCGCATTGTGATTTTGCATCAATAACTGGCTATGCTTTTCCGCCACCAGTAAATCCGTAATGAGCTCTGGATGCGTATCATATTTTGTATTCCTGTACTGCTTCTGGAGCACAAGGTCATTTGGATGGAACGTGGATAGGGTTTTTTCAATCAGATCCTCGTCCGTAATTGTTTGCTTACAGAGCTTCAATTGTGACACAATTTTGTGTAGGGCGGAGTTGTATTCAGTCACAGACTTAAAGTCTTGAAATCGGAGGTTAAGCCAATCATGTTGGGCCTGGGGGTGGACCAATGACGTCTGTTGGTCAAAGCGTGCCTTAAGAGATTTCCAGAGGACATAGGGGTCTTTTTCTGTTAAGTATTCATTCTTGAGGTCGTGGTTAAGATGGTGGCGGAGGAAAATGAGCGCTTTCGCCTTCTGGGCTGCAGTGCTCGTAGATGTCTCTTCAATGGTGTCCAGCAATTCTGTAGATTGGAGATATATCTCAACATCAAGCGCCCAAGTGAGGAAATTGCTTCCATCAAGGGCGAGTTCAGCGAATTCTCTTTTTGCGAGAGCAGCCATTTCTACAGAAAATATTTAAATGAGGACCAAAGAAATAGAATGTGTGGTCTAGTTTATTTCAATAAACAAAAGGCCCAAGGAACATATAATATTGCATACCAAAAAAAATGGTCCAAAAAAATGAGGGCTTGAAATAAGTATAAAAATGGCCCATTAGAATGAAGATGATCTATTTAAAAAATGGTCCAATCAAATAAAGATGGATGGATTTTTTTTTTTTGTTTTATGAAATAAAAATAGAACCCTAGTGCAAGGGAAATAACGCTTCTGGCGTTATTAAAATTTGAAGCCACTCCCCTGGTCATTTAATTTAGATAGAAAAACGGTTCCGATGAAACCTAAGAGAAAGCGGAGAGATTTCCGCCACTACCCGCAGAGTTCGCGGATGGCCACCATCGCCTCAAGCCAACGCCGCTCGCTGGTTGCCGGCGTCTCTCCACCGGCGATGGATTTCGAGTAAAGACAGCAGAGAGCGGAAGCCAAGATCGATCGATTGCCGCCATCTTCCATCACCTCTCGTCACAGACATCATCGCCGATCGTCTCAAGATCGTTGCCGAACGCAGATTGGTAAAGACATATATGTTTCGATTTTCGTTTTTGTTCTCTTGATTTTGTTTGGATTCATGAAAAATTATACATAGTATAAACCGAATCGAAAACAAGCAAAGCAAGTGCAAAACACATATTCATGGAAAACGAGAGAAAAAAATATATTTTGTTTGAGGTATTCCGAAAGGCAAAAAAAAAACAGTAAAAGTTTTCATGCCTGTATGTCAAATATATTGAAAGTAATGCAATTTTTCACAAAAAAAATCATATGCAAATTTCTAGATCCAGTACATCTATTAATTGAAAATTTTGTTTGTTTTTGAAAACACACAATGTTCGTCCAAAAAACCAAGAATTGCTAATATATTTTTCACAATGTTCCAGTACATCTATTTTTGCTATTAATTCACAATTTTTCACAATGTTCGTACAAATATATTTTGTTTGTTTTTGTTTGTTTGGTGTATTTTGTTTGTTTGTTTTTGTATCCCGTACATCTATTACTGCTAATTTTTCATCCTAAGTTCTAAACTGGAATTATGCTGTGTGAACATTAGTTTTTTTTCTAAGACCAAAAGCTCACAGATCTTTTTATGTAAAAAAAAAACTATTTTCTTTTACAGATCTTAATAGACAACATGGAATACATTTCTTTTTCCAAAAAAAAAAAAGATTCACATATGTATATGTGTGTATATTGTACGGCGCATATTTATTTTTAGGATGTATAAAATTTTCATGGCTTGCAAATATGTATACACATACATACAGTGAACTGTAGACATACATATTTTTATATCAATGTATATACACAAACATTCATAAGATAGAAAGACAATTTGCATATATATATGTTAAAGCATATAATAGAAATCAACATGATTTCACAATGTAAATATGCAATTTGTTGGCAATTTGAATAGTTATGAATCAAGTTCACTAAATATATTCATTTGATGCAGATATATGCTGTCAGGAAATATATGTTCATATTATCAAATCTCACAGACCCAGTAGAGCATGACAAAATATAAACATGGACATGTGATTTTAGGCATCCTGAAAGCATAAAGCATAAAAAAAATAATATTACTGTTCACCGGAGTGTATTGAGCGTGCTGATAACGTGTTGTAATGCAAGTTTGTTGGTAACTTTTGCAGACCTTAGCACGCAGGAACAGTGAAACAAAGAGCAGTATGAAGAAGATAAAGAAAAGTGAGAAGAACAAATTTATTGCCTTGCAATCTCTAACTTCAGTACAGGAATACAATAATATATAGAGTACAAATGTAACCTTCTCATTAAGTACAGAAACTGTTTCAGCTGTTATAAATTATCATAATAATGTCCATTAAGATTTTGATTTATAACATGATTATTATTTTTAGTTCAATGATGAAATCAAAACATCTTCTTTTGAATTGGCTAAACCTTTTTTTTTTTTTTTTTGGTTAGTTGTGGAATCAATTGAAATTCACAAATTGTAATGAATTAAAATATATCGGGCCAAATAATGGATTTGTACAAAATCAAATGGGCTAACGCTAGTAGAGAATATATTTTGACAAATTTTCTATTAATTCAGTAAAATCTAAAACAACCAGGCCATTAACCAAAATTAGTTTAGTTATTGAATTAGAACTTAAAAATGAACCCCGTTAATCGGGCGTTTGGTTGGAGAAAATTACAATTTCATTCCCACCTAATTCTCACATAATTTCGAAGGCAAACAAATTCATTCGTTTGGTTGGAGTAGGGGTGTAAATGAGCCGAGCTGCTCGCGAGTCGCTCGTGAGCGGCTCGGTCAACGCTCGGCTCGAACTCGGTCAAAATCGAGCTCGGCTCGAGCTCGAGCAGCTCGTGGATTAAACGAGCACGAGCCGAGCTTAGGTATTGTAGGCTCGCGGCTCGACGAGCCGTTCGCGAGCCTTATAATATATTATATAATATATAATATATAATATAATTATATTATATTTAGTATATAAAAAATAATAATTAGGGGAGGGAAATTAAAATACTTTAATAATTATGTATGGATAAAAATAATAAAACAAAGTAGTTTAAATTTTAAATCAAACAGGTCAAATTCGAGATCAAAATTAAGCTCAAATTCGAGCCTAAACGCGAGCTCAAATTCGAGCCTGAACTCGAGCTCAGGTTATAGCTCGAATTCGAGCTCGAGTTTGAACAATCGAGTTGCTCGAGCTCGAGCTCGAGCAGCTCGACAATTGCCGAGCTCGAGCTCGAGCATCAGTTCACAAGCTCGAACGAGCTCGAGCTCGAGCTCGAGCTGTGCTATCATTAACGAGCACGAGCATGAGCCTACCCAGGCTCGAGCTCGGCTCGGCTCGTTTACACCCCTAGGTTGGAGGGAATTACAATTTCGCAGAACTACAACTCCATTTTCAAGGAATTAGAATCCCATGTCCACCCTTAGTATTTCAATTCCATGGATTTTAGGAAGAAGAAAAAAAACTTTGAGACAAAATTACCCCTCTCTTTTTAACCTAAAATTGATGTTTGACATCTCTTTCGATTATAGCGTGTCTTCTTCTACTCTCAAGACAGAACGTCAATTAGTAATTTAACCTCAATCAAATATATTTTCTCAAAACTCTCTTATCTATTTTATTGCTTTTGTTATGCAATTCTAGGGTTTATTTATAGCGTGTTACATAAAATTTCAAAAGTAAAATTTGAATTTGGTCATTTAATAATAATAATAATAATAATAATAATAATAATAATAATAATAATAATAATAATAATAATATTTGATGGTTTTATTGAGACCGGGTCCACCATAAACCGAGTGGTGATCACGGAGTGCGTCAGCGGGGTGAGGAGCCGTGTGGGGTTCAACCTGGGCCCCTCGGCATATTCGCGGTGGTGCTGCCGAGGTGCCCTGCCGCGCTCTTCCTGGGGGGCCTTGTCCTTCCGACCTCTCCCTTCCTCCTGCTCCTTCCTATTCTCGGCGACCTCGACGTCGGCATACCGGGCCGCCCTGTCCATCAGGTCGGTATAGTTCTTGGGAGGGTACCGGATGAGGTCCTGGTGGAAAGCATCCGACCTCAAATTGTTCCTGAAAATTGGCATGGCCGACTTACCATCGAAATTGGCGACCCCCATGGCTTCCTTCTTCCATTTACTGAGGTAGTCGGCCAGTAACTCCGAGCTCTTTTGTTTCAGGTCGCACAGGTCGGCGATTTGCTTCTTCCTTTGGATGCTGGTGGCGAAGTGGGACAGGAACTGCTTGGTGAGGTCCGTGAAGGTAGAGATGGACCCCTCCGAGAGGGACCCAAACCAGTCGTGTGCCTGTCCGTCCAGAGTGGCGAAGAACCCCCTGCATAGGATGGCGTCGGTAGCCCCGGTGATCATCATGGCGGCCCTGTACCTGGTGAGGTGCGACCGCGGGTCCGTGGTCCCCGAGTACACCTTGATGGTGGGAAAACGGAAATCCTTGGGCAAGGGTTCCTCCATGATAGCACTCATGAACGGGGTGGACAGTATGTCTTGGGGATCCGGGGACCCGTCCCTCTCGTCGATCTTCTTCTGGAGCTCGTCCATCCTCCTCCGGAGTTGCTCGACTTCGTCCCGATTGGAGCTCGGGACTCGGCGATTTGTCTCACCTGTTCGCTCTACCCGGGAGGCCTGCCCGTGTCGTGGTGGAGCTCGGGTCCCACGACCTGAGGACCTACGCGAACCCGCCTCCTGTTGCGGCCGGGCTCGGGATGCGTGGCTTGGCGACCTCCGGGTGCTTGCTGGTTGCCGTGGCGGCCTGCGGGAACACGGTTCTGCCGCTGGTGGCTCGTTGGCGGCCGGCCTCGGACCCAGCCTGTCCCGAGCCGACACACGATCGCCCAACCTCTCCAGGGCGGGCCTGGTTTGGGTTGGCTCCCTCCCCTCGTCGCCGTGCTGACGGTCTCGGCGGGAGCCCCCTCCTCCTCGCTTGTCCGTTGGTAGAGGCGAGTTGACCTCCCCCTGTGTGGCGTGTGCCGGAGGTGGTCGGGTGCTCGGCCCGCTTGCCCCCTGGAGAGAGGTGGAGGCGGAGGTGGCGCCTAGGTCGGCTTGTTCCTCTGCCCGAAGGCCCGCCGCGACATGTGCTAGTGCCATGGAAGCTTGTTCGAAGACCGCCACCCCCTCCTGGAGGAGAGCACGAGCTGGAGCGGGGACGGCAGGGGGTGGTGCATCACCGCTACGGTGGTTGGTGAGGTGGGCCCTCAGATCTCCCCCCGACCTGGCGGAGGCGGCCGGTTGGATGCTGGGGGCCCGTTGGGGCCGTTCCCGTTTGCGACGAGCTGGGTGCCGAGGGAATCGTTGGTGTGGCGAGAGTTGGATCTCGATCTCGTCATGGTAGCTGGTCGCGGTAGACCACTGGATATAGAACACTCTTGAGCTAGTACATCAGCTCTCAACAAGAGCACAAATGATGGATTTAATTGACCCGGGGTAGACCCGAATCAATGAATCCGGATAAGAACGTGATATGAAATAAATAAATGTAACGCAAGGATATCGTAAGGTCGCAGGGACCGTGGATTATATTGAATATCGCTAATAAGCTATTACAAGACTTGATTAGGACAATAATGCTATAAAATAGTAGTTTAGAAATATGTTATGTCCTTGTTTAGGACAAGATGGAGGCTTTTATATCAGCTAAAACCCCCAACCGCACCCCTAAAACCGGGGGTGGTTAGATCGGCCTGCTTTGACCGCGTCCCCTCCGGGACCGGGGCCAAAGCGGGGCGACTCGGCATGGCCGAGCTGGGCGGGGGAGCTCGGCCTAGCCTCGGTCCATGGTGACGAGCTCGGGTGCATGGTGACGAGCTCGGGTGCACCGAGCTCGTCCGTGACTGGGCTCGGCCCATGGTCGAGCCGTCTGGGCCGACCCAGCCACGGCCCAAGGGGTTGGACCGAGCGTCCCGTCTCTTCGGGTCGGTCCGTTCCGGGCCCAATATATCCATCAGATTGTTTTCTTCGTTGCGACAACGGAATTGAGGACGAAACAAGTGAGAGGAAGAAGCTCTCAATGAAGGAAAAGAGGCTAAAGATCAGTTTCTCAAGTTTTTATATTTAAAAAATAAAATAAAATAAAATGCCGAATACGCAATGCACGTTTAATGTGGCCGTCTCTATTTTTTACGGTGTTGTTTAACGTGCCCGCCTCTTTTTTTTACGGTGTTGTTTAATTGTGTGGACCACGGTACATGCAATAAGCATTGTTAAGCGTAAGACTAGGCTTTGCCGTGACATCCCAAATCTCTTTTTCTTCCCCCATTATCCGGCATCAGATGGCCAGTGGAAGCCAACGTCATACAAAAAATGGTTTCGCCAGGCCTGTCTCATATCATCCAAATATAATATTCAAGACGGTAGCTTTACTTTCAACATTCTTCTTGACCCATTCTCCAAGCCCACAGAAAAAGAATAACCTGGAAATCTGCATATTTCACGTTCGTAAGGTAAAACAATAGATGAGTTTACTTGATAAGAAAGTGACGGATCGTTATGCCATGGAACCGTGTTCACCAAGGTCTCAACAGTAACAGTGTATCGTTATTTTTTTTATTTTAATTAACCGCGCGAATTTTCTTCTTCATTTTCACATTTTGCGATTTCACTTTCTTTTCGCGCAAGCTTTTTCAACATAATCTCATAAAAAGAAAATTCATAATTTCATAACTGCACATTCATAAATCCATGCCTGCATATTCATAATTGCATTGATTTATGAATGTGCAGTTATGAAATTATGAATTTTCTTTTATGAGATTATGAATTTTCTGTTATGAGATTATGAATTTATAGTACATTCATAATCTCATAACAGAAAATTCATAATCTGACCAAATGCGCGCCATTAACTTCACATTAACGATTTTTATTTTTTTTCGTAAAAACGACACCGTTTGAATCCGTGTTCACCATTCATGGTGAACACGTTTCCAGGGCATAATTTGCCCAAAGTGACTAGTGAAATTTAAATAAAGAACAAAAACACTTTGTTACGTGCATTATAATTTTATGTTTTATTTTTTATATTCAAATTTTATAAAATTTATTGTTTGTTTGTTTTTTTACTTATAGTTTTGACCACTTAGCTTATAATCAAAGGATTCAAAGCATTTACTATTTCTTTTATGCAATAAAAAGTTTTTTTCAAGTATAAACCACGAGGTGATTCGGGTCTTTCTCTGTTCGTTTAACGGTCCACCCAATTAATCTTCGTTCGCTCCGAAAGGCCAGAAGCTGGCCCGGAGGAATCGCCACTTGTGAAAATCAAACCCGAGTTATTCTGAAATTCTCCTCCACGAATAGAGTTCATTTACCATCTGAGCTATCATCCCGGTTATACAATAAAATGTTTAAAACAACAAAACAAAATTACAATTTAGTATCTCATCCATTGAGTCTTGACCCCAAAGGCACCCAAGAGAAGAGCTATATTTTTCATTCAATATTGTCCCCTAAAAATGTAACACTTCATTGCACAATTACAAACTATATATGCACTAAGATCCTTTTCACTTTCCTTCATACCACTTTTTTCTGACTTTTCCCCCATTTAAAGACAACTTTTTTTCTTCTTTTATTTTACTTTTCGGATATTGCACTGCTTATTTCCCACCTGCATACTTTTATATCTCACTTTTCCCCCTCACTTTCTGCCATACCCATCCAAACAGTGCATAAGGTCATCATATTATGCATGGCAACAATATAGAAAGGTTTGGATATGATGGCCAGATGAAATGTACAGTATGAAACTGAGGTGTGAATTTCAGAGAAAAGGTGATCATATTTCAGAAGCAGTAGATATAAAAGTTTGACCAGCTGCCCATCCTATGGCCGAAAATTTCATGTGACTATGGCACAATAATTGCTCTAAAACCAGGAACAAGACATGAGGGAATTAAATTTGTTTTGTTGATCAAATTTTATATAGCGGTTGAATTGGATATAAAGATATTAGTGTTGCGATTATTCGTTACGTTGACTTATTGAGTCTAATAAGACCAAGGTTCGAACCGGCATTTGGCCCTGCAGCGACAGTGTGGGAAATATTTCATAGGTCTCAATTCGTAAGATGGGTCGATTTAATTAAAATGGTCATAACAAATTTATATATATAATCAATACTTTAACTCTTGTACACAATACTTTATAGTATAAACGTAGTACTTGGTAATAAAACTCTAATAGATAAATTGTAGAAAATAAAGTAATAACATAGTAAAATTGCATATGTAATTAATATTTTTTTTTAATCACTACAATTGCCTCCACCCCAGGCTCAAACCCATCACCTCCCATATAGATGAGCAACTTGGTACCAATGAACCACAAGGTCCTTGGTTATGTAATCAATATTTAAGCCTTATATATACTCCTCTGTCACATTATATCTGTCTTATTACTTACTATTGGTCAAACTAACTATTTCTTCTTCGTTTATTTTCTTTATTATTTTTACTTATTTATTTGATTTTTTGTGTGTAATAGTACTTTTAGTGTAGTTTCTAAATATATAAATTTTGTATATTAATACTAAACTTAATATTATGAAAAATTAAATTAAAAACAACTTCAGTCAAGTCTCGTTAACCGAACCAGACACATAAAATGGGACGGAGGGAGTAATACTTTATTCTTTATAGGAGTTAATTAACTACCGATTTGGTTCCTCAACTATGAGGATTTCACAAATCTGGATACTGACCCAAAACGACAACCCAAATAATAAATAAATAATACAAGTTGAACCTTAATAATGAAATAGAAACACCAATGTTACCGCTAGGAATCAAACCCTAATATGCCAACAAGAGGGAGAAGACTCAAATTAACCACTTAGCTAGAAGGGGTTTGGTAAGCAAAGGGATGGTTTTCAATAGGAGGGAAAACACCCTATTTATATTGTTGAAAGACTCCCGAATTGTTGACAAATGGACGGCATCGGGCAACCTTCATTCTTGTCCACACACATGCCCCCTCCCCCACCCCCTCCCCCTCCCCCTCCCCCACCCCCAATTACTTTGCTTCCAGAGCACACCCATGCATAAGTGGGGCTTCATGCCCTTTAACACACAAGCTTTTGAGTGGCTTGGTGGTCTGGAACTTGTGTTGTTATGCTTGAGGTTATGGGTTTGAACCTCATGGTAGTGCATCTTATAAGTGGAAGAACTTTCGTCCTTAATCATAAAGACTAGCCTAGCCCGAGATCGGCCTAAGTTTTCCTGGGCCGATCCTAATCAGTGCTAATCTAAGCCCGTCACGAAATCGGCCCAGAGTCGGGATTTGACCACCTCTATTTGTACTTCTTATTTATGATTCACACAATTGTGTGTGTAGACCATGATCATATCCATGAAATAATGATTGCATACACATGAGTTATTTGTGTACCGAATATACATTATATAACATATATTTTTAATATACTAAAAATACATTATTTGTATATTGAATAAATATTATTTGATAATATATAAAATAATGTATAATGTACTTTATGTATATAAATAATGTATTATTAATTTTTTTTTTAAAGATGTGTTTTTTAT